TAATAAAATATAACAATTTCAACAGGAGCCTGTTACTATGTTCAGTAAATCTGTTTGAAATGTTCTTCATTTCACGTGAAGATTTTGCAAGACAAACAGATTCCATGTGAACATGTGGATTGTAAAGATTGCAAAAACAGGGTAAGCTTCATTCAGAAAAATACAGTCAACTAGACCAAGATTCATCATTCCAGTTTTGGCACTTGGTTCTGATGGTTAACCATGTGCACTGTTCAGCTGACATATCAGCTTCCTTGTTTGAGCTTCCTGGCTGGCAGCCACTGTTTTATCATCATGCCTTTGGCTAGCAGGGATTTTCAATCTGATCTAGATTTTATAACCACCTGCTTAATTGTTTTGCTGAACAAGAGATCTTTAGCTGTGTACTTTTACTTCCAGTAAAATACAGGTTGTCACCTATACTTATTAAATGATGAGTATAATTATCCAGAATTGGGGTTGATTTAGAATATCACATAATGTCTATAAGGATTTAAAGCATCTTAAATTTTGTAATGTGGGCTTCTGTTCAACAAAATTCAATCACCAAAGAGATGCAGGTAACAAAAAGATGTTATGAAGGAGAAGTTGGCCAGCAGAACATGCAGTTAGAGCACAGTAAATCTTGTCTTTTGGAACACCATTCCAAGACATCATCTGTGTGTGTGAGTAAAACTGTGAGTGAAGTGATGATAGCTACAGATTGTTTCCATTCTGAGATGACTTTCTGATGGTAACCTAAGTCAGTAATGAGCAAAGATCTTTAACTGGTATTTGTTGGAGAGCTGGGTGCAGGTGGGATCTGCTTAGGCTGTTTAGTCCTGACAATCCCATTTGTCATCACTTACACCAATGACCACAAGTGTCTGAAAAGCATTTCTCACCTCAGCCAGTGGTCACCTGAGGTCAGGAAAACACATTTCTGTTGGGAACTGTCTGGAGCTAACTTGTTGCTAAGAATTATCTGAGTTGCATGAGTCACAGAAACAAATTTCTTTATTAAGTGAAAAAACATCAGATCCTTCCAGTGCTCACACAGCACGGGACACTCACCAGATCCTCTCCCAGTGTATCTCACACAGCAGAGACAGACACAAGTCCTGTCCATGTCCTTGTCCTCCCCCAGAGGAAACAGAACATGTGTTAAGTACAGAGGATCAGAGCAGCAACATGGTGTTAGATCAAAATCTGCCTTTCACTGTCTATCCAATTTTCCTGATTCAGAAATTCATGTAACTGGCAGACAGAACTCTTAGATCATCTTGTAACTGGTCTTTACAGTGTGGTCACAGAATTTCATTCAGTCACTCCTCTTTTGAACATAATAACAAATACCAAAATGATATGTCATTTAGGGAAAAAAAAAAAACACTTTTGCTTTTAGACCCTTCAAAAGAAATGTTCTTATTTTTGGTGCATAGTTTGAATGAGGAATTCTCCATTGGAAATGTCTGGATTATTGCCATAGATTGTCATTACACTTTTATTTTAGAATTGAAGACCACTTGAGTATCTGTGCCCTTATGATAATAACATTTTCTTAGGAGTTGTCACCTTTTAATCTATTACTCATAATTCTGAGTATTGATAAAGCTTCATGCAGCAACATTAATGCTATTAACTGAATGAACTGTTATTAATGAACTTATTATTGCTGTTGGATGCACCACCTCAGTTCATATTGAAATATGGACACCTCTGAAGAAGTGCAGATCTAAAAGTAGTCTTTCCCATATTTTCTTCTCTTGCTTATATTTTCTTCTTTAACTTACAAAATTAAGCATCAAGCTGTGTCTGTATTACATCAGTAGTTACTGTTTAAAAGACAATTCATTCTTTAAAATGTGTCTGTAGCTATAGATCAAGATAAGCATAATTAATCACTTGACAAAAAAATGCATTGCAAACTAATTCCTGGATAATCAATCTTATCAGTGAGAACAGTTCACCAGCTTTTAATTACCTTTGTTATGCAACATTTGTCTACACCACATAATTGCATTGTCCTCTTCCGACTTACCTGCCTTTCTTTAGGTCATCTTCTTTTCCACTTTCCTACTGTTCCCAGAATGAAACACTCACTATACCAAAACACTGATGCTCTTCGTGGTCAGGATTAACAGCAGTGGTTTGTAGTCAAGTATAAAGCAATACTCAAAACATGTGTGCAGAGATAATTTCTCATTTAATTGGAAAAAGCTGCAGGGAGTCAAAGGCTCCACATTCTGCAATTTTGTGCTTTTCTACAACTGTCACCCTGCTGATCTAAGTGGTTTCTCAGCAGGGATAGAAATAGACCTTCTATTGTCACTCTGCCTCCAACAGCTTCAATAAAAACTTTAACTGCTTTTCCAGAAAAGGAGGAGAGGCCATGACCAAGATTTGTTTTGAATATATTACAACAATGCTTAACAGCTCCTGTTGGGAAAAGCAGAAGAAACTAGAGGAGGAATTAAAGTTTGTTTGTAAAGTATAGAGGTGAGAGTAGTCTGAAAACAGAAAGTACTGAGGAATTTTTGTGGGGAAAAAGAAGCGATAAAGTGAAATAAATAAGGGGGGAAAGAAAGGAAAACATAAGAAACAATTACAGAGTTTTGGGGGGGAAAAGGTAAATAAGCAAGAAAAATACCAGAATCAACAGATGTCAGGAAAACTCCAAACTTTAACACCAACTTTCTGGCCTCTCACTTTGTTTATGATCCTCCAGGTTGCATTGGAGCCAAATTTTTAGTAAATATAAAAACTTTCCACAACATGTGTACGAGAGCAGTGTAAAAGTCCCTTTTACAAACAGCCAGTCTGTACACATCCAGTGTTACTTCCATTTCAAAGAAGTAGTGTAACTTGCTCAGGATATTAAATTGCCTAAGCAGGCCTGGTTCCTCTTATTCACTTCCAGAAGAACCTCTTGACTTCCTGAGATGTTATCTGAAATCAATCACCAGAGTAGAATTTGTGCCTGTTCGTGGCACATGGAATCTTAAATCCTGGTCTTGTTGCACTGAAATGGTTCGAAATATCCAATACACTTAATTTAATGTTTACCTCTGCCCTGGGAGCATTCCTAGGAAGAATCCTGGGAGTTTTGAAAATCACAACTGTCCAGTTTCAGAGGGAGTTTTGTACCTCTGTTACCTGTCCATGAAGCAGGACAGCAAAGCTGCCCAGCTCAGACAGAATCCAGGAAACCGAGTCCCTGCTGATTCCAGACTAATTTCACCATCATCCACTCACTCTTTGTCAACCTCAGAGGGCTCCCAGCACCCCAATTCACTCAGTTCCAACAGTGTTGTTAGGTTACACAAGTTCATGTCTTTGGAGCTTCAAATATATTATTCTGTGTGAATAATTAATGTTGAAATGGAATGTGTTCATTCCATGGTTTGCATAGAAACATCCCATGGCATAAAAATTATAAAAAGAGAATTTCCTAGTCCTCACTAGGTTAACCTATACCCAGTGGGGGTAGACTTTACAGATCTGAAAGATTCGCTGCTATTTTATGTACAAGTGACTTCAGTCAAGAAAGCAAAGGCTTAGAACCCCAACTGTTTAATATTTGGATTATTATACAGACTTCATTGCCAATTCATGAAAATATTATATGCCTTAATTTCTAATTTTTTGTTCTTTCTTTAGTGATATTGGCATAAAACTTTCATGTAGGAAAACTCTCTACATCACTGAATTAATGCACACAAAGTAATTTTGGAACTGGAATGAAAATTGTAAGTCCTGTAGACTTAAAACAGGATATCCTAAAAAGAAAAAAACAAACACAAAAAAAAACCCAACCCAGTGTGTGTTTAAAATTAGCAGAAGTCTATTTATTCAGTGCGTAGGGGAAAAGGAATGTCATTCTCCCATTTTCACTGGTGAGCTCTGACTTAAATTTACTGAGTCATAAATATTTGGCTAAAATAACCCTAAGTAATCCTGGGGTGGATTAGTGCAGGTATGGAACTCAAAGAATTGAATGACATGTGTGAATACATGATACTTACAGGTTGGTAGAAGTTCAAAAGACTTCATCAAGACATGGCCTCTAGCCAGGACACACACGTGAATTTACAAATTAAGCGCCCTAACCCCCATTTGACTTAACCTAGTTTACAGCTACTTTCTATTTTTCTACTCCTTTTGTTATTTTAATCTCATTAAAAGCTTTGCAATCGATTCAAAGGCAGGTCTGAATCTTTACAACTGTTCCCAGACTGTAGTCACTGCAAATACTTGGCCACATGTGCTGAAGTTCACACCACAGAGTCTGAAAAACTTTAATTCTTGAAGCTATTTGTTTTAAGGTTCATTTGATCTCCTGATTATTTTTGCACTGAGCTGATCTCTGTGGTTACTACAGGACCCTATTAGCCTGTGAGAATCTTTACAAATCTGAAGTCTGTTTTGGTTACTCAGCAAGACAGGATATATACAGTGGTGTAGGAAAAAGAGGCCTCTAACCTTTAGGATGTAGGCAAAGTGTCGCTCTTCCTGGATGCTTTCTTCCCATTAAACACTGTCAGTACAGACAGCAGAGCAGCTTTTCTGCACGTGTGCTCCACCCCCAGCTCCCTGTGTGGAGCTCAGAACTTCCAATCCAGGCTTCAAAATTTGTTTTTATTACGAGTTGAAACAAAAGCTTGTTTCCGCAGAGCACAGTTGTAAAAGACTTTTGTAGCATCTTAAAATCTGGCATATTGAATTTTTCAAACGTTATCCTAACGTCTCGGTATTTTTCCACATTGATTTGTATCAGAACTAGTACAGCTGCACGCACACACACTCTTCTCGCTCTCCCAGCGGGTGAGTTGTTAGAAACAGATTTCTCGTGGGAAATCGGCGCTTTTCCCTGCTGTCAGCCCTGCCCGGCACTCCGCGGTGCGGGGTCCCCGGGCCGGGCAGGTGCTCGGGGGGCTGCGCTGGGCTCCCCCCGTCCCGTCCCGTCCCCGCGGGGTCCCGGGGCTCCGCGCCCGCTCCCGCCCGCCATTTCCCGCACTCACTCGGGGGTGTTGATCCAGATGATGTCGAGGTGGCAGTAGTACACGCACTCCTTGTCCTTGTAGGTGTAGCAAGTGCAGCGCCGGGCCCGGTGTCGCAGCGCTCCGCCGTCCGCCCTGGCCCTGCCGCCCGCGGCCGCCGCCGCTCCGCTCTCGTCGCGCTCTCGGTGCCCCGGGCCGGCCGCCGGCAGCGCGGAGCGGGGCCGGGGCAGCGCGGTCCCTGCAACAGCCGCGCTCAGCTCCCGGCAGCTCCGACCCCGCACACCCCCGCCCGCAGCCCCCCCGAGCCAGCCCCGCTCCCTGCGGAGTCCCGGCAGCACCGTTATGTTTGTGTCCGCCCCGGGCTGCAGCTGCCTCTGGGTTAAACCTACGGACGGCCAAAGGATGGCTTTGGCGTCTGGCTCTTTACAGCGCACCGGAGTGGGCTGCTGATTACAGCCCTTTGGAAGGAGGCGGGGGGGGGGGGGGGGGA